CCATCGTTGACCTCTATACCTCTTCAGGGTATTGGCTTCGATTCTGGCAGAAGCGGGATGGCACACGACCTTTTATGTTAGGTTAGTGTCCAAGGGAACGACCATACCGAGGGATAGATACTTGGAAAACCAATAGAAAGGTGCGAGACTATATCCACATCGATTCAAATCATTAAGTGTTAGTTTTGATGACAAAACTCTTACCTGGCGTGTCGAAAAGGTGAGGGTGCTCCTCCCGCATCTTCTCCTCAAGTTCCCATGTAGCTTCGCGCTCGGAATGATTCCTACACGACGTATGGAATTGTGCGCGTCCTTAGTACCTGATCCTTTCTATCAATAATCTTCTCCGGGCGTTCTTCATAAGTTAATTTATTATCTACAACCATATCCTCTATCAACCAGATATGCTCTGGCGACGGTACGTATTTCCTCAGCATGGATACATGGAATACTTTGTGAACTCAGGAGAGCGCAGGACGTAGTGCTAAAAGGTATGCCACATCTCCTATCGCTTACTTGCGTTCAATGAATGAAGTTTGCTCTTTCGAAAATCGATTAGATAGCAATGTTACTCTGAGTTCCTGCTTCACTACAGGGGAAAGGGAAAGAAACGAAAAAAAATTAGTTAAGCAAAGCCCATGGCCTACCCCTCCTACTCTTCCATACCAGTGAAATAAGTTATTCTTTCGAATAGGCCTAACCCTTGGGGAGAGGGTTATGTTATTGGGTTATAAAGAGGGACTCCCACCTCACTCAACCATAAGGAGACATTTAGAATAGTGATTGATTATGAAGACTTTTACTAGCAAGTCAGTGTCGTTCCTGTTAGAACAATGTTTGAATCTAGTACCCTATATTTAAGTTTTGATGATAACAAAGTGAAAAGATATAGTAGTTATATGTTTCATGTTTGAACTATATGCTGCCTAAAATTACTATGCTCTGACTTGCAGATACGCTGATTAAAATAAGCAAGATCACTTCTTCAGCATCAGAATTTGATTTCATACACCAGCATCAGAAGTTGCTGAATCAGAACGTGAAGATCAGATGATCAACTCACGTACATGCTGAAGCTTGAGGAACAGAACTGCGCGTAAACACTCTGATACAGAATCAAATAGTTCATCAGCAGCGAAGCAGAATCAGAATGAGCCAAGCCAGAACGTGCATTGAAGAAGCAACGGTACTGTGCATTGAACGCTAATTAATTCCAACGGCATCATTCTAGACAAGATCTGCTCAAAAAGGAAAGCTTGTTATTAGCATTGAATCAAGAATATTTGCATTCAACGTTCATCTTCTCAAGTGCTATATAAACAAAGCTTCGAAGATTATAATGGCCAATGCTCTCCAATTCTCTACACGCACAAAGCTGAACAATAATCTTCATCTACCAGTTCTTCTAAACCACAAACTCTGATACTCCATTAGTGTTTAGCATTCTAAGTTTCTAAGCTTCATTTGTGTATACATCACAGTTGTGATAAAGTTTTGTAGAAAACATTCACACACATTTGTTTTATACCTTTGTAAGAAAGTGTTGCCTTGACAAACCGGATTGTGGTTTGAATCAAGAAGGCTTTAGCAGTTGTTAAAGCAGATTTGTATTCAGTTGAATATAGTGAATTAAGACCTCGTTGGAGAGAGGCAAAATCACCTTGACGGGTGGACTGGAGTAGTTTGAGATCAAACGAACCAGGATAAAAATATCTTGTCAATTGCTTTAAGATTCCAGTTTTTCAATTCAACCCCCCCTTCTTGTGTTTTTCACCCCTTCAGTTCCCTCAAGTCAAGCAAGGTACCGAGTTAGATAAAGAATTATAGGGGGTGTAAGCCTAGATACTAACTATTTCCCTTGCATTTTAAAAGCATGATTTTTACCTTCGGGGAGGGATACTTCTTTCTTTGACTTTATAGAAAACATTTATACTTGATTGAAGATATACCAAAACTCTCGTCTATTTCGATGGTATGATAGTAACTAGAGCTCCGGAGAAAATGACCATAGAATTCTTTCTTAGCCTTAGACAAAGAGAACGGGAAACCAGGAACCAAGCAGGCCTCTTGGCAGGAAAACAAGCTAGATCACGTTCTCGAAATAAACCAAGTTTTTCATGTAGGATTTGGTTGGTGGTCTATTAAGGTCTTGAGCCCCTAGGAACTACTCGGAAATAAGGTAAGTAAGTTAGAGAGCTATGTCCCAATTGTTGAGGAATGGGGTCTTAAGACAGACAAGGCTTTAGTAACGAGTTTGACTAACCGAGGATGAAATTGCCACAGACCAGCATCAGCTAGCTCATGTCTTGGGCAGACTAGCTTTTACCAAGAAATAGTAAATAAAAGATTTCTTTGGTGGTAGGGGAAGTTGTAACAAAGTTCCCTTTTTCAATCAGTTCCAAGACCCCGAGGCTCGAGCCCTCAATCAGATTTTTGGGGGATCTTTGTCGTTGATCCTAGCAATGAAGAAAGATGATCTTCCTTTAGCCGGGCACACACCAAGTAAGATGTGAAGATGTTCACTTCCCTAGTTAAGACATATTCCCAAGCTAGAGAGACTAACTTAGCTCTTTTTATTCTGCCTCGATATAACTTTTGAGTGACTACCCTAAGAAATCAGACTTATGCTCAGTTCTCCTCGGGATAAGCTGCTCTTGTTTCATAAGCAAATGTGGCAACTGGTGGTAACGTATAAAAGTACCATATACTATGTGTGAGCCGTTAGAGTATAATCAAGTCCATGTCTTCTTAGTCAGTGTCTCAGTCACGGAAATTAAAAGTACAATGTCCCTGGTATACTACTAAAGCTCTAACTCTTATCTGTCTTCTAGACGAGTGAAGTGACCAATGGGGATTGGTCACGAACGCTATAAGCGAGGTTGCTTTCCGCCTTAGTACATCTCACATTGTGGTACCCTTTAGAGTTATAGTCAATGTATCACTGGTATAGGAGTTTATTATCCGTCTGAGATTGGGTTGGTGTGCAGTGTACTATTACTATAAGGTACAAGATCGAAAAAACACAGAGTGAATACATTTGTCGATCTCTAGTTTATATGCTAGAGTTGTTTCATCCATTTCTATTTATACTCGGTGAGGCACCTTTTGAGGAAAATCCTACGAAATCCCATCGGTTCCAGCTTTGTTAGTTTCATGGAGGAAAGGGGATTGATGACTTTTATAAGTTATTTGAGCAATTCAACTAAAGTGAAGAAAAATAAAGGATCTTATTTTCATCCAAGCGCTTTGTACGCTGTGTGCTATTTTGACATCTCATTACTACCTATCAAGTTAAACTTGCCTATGGTATACCCACCTATAGAGTGGCGGAATGCCCGCAATGATGGTTAAAATGCTAGCCAGATGTCCGATCTTAGAGGGGGTTACTTAAGTTATCCAACATTAGATATGTATGATCGTTATCGCCTGTTAAGTAGCGTAAACTTTAATCACTTCAATATTTTTCTTCCACCAAATGAGTATGATCTGTGTAATGTAATGAACAAGTTGCAGGGTCAGGCCTTTAAAATCAACAGTGATTGGTTGAAATATCTTCAAAAATAATGAGAACTTATTTGTTGAAAATGTTTTACTCATGCCATAATTTATAGCCTAAATGAATCAAAAAGGGGTATTAAGCTTACTTAGAGTGTTACACTTGAAAGATGTAGATATTAACGAAAAATATAGTTTTAGTGAAAAGTTTGTTAAATACATTATATAAGAACATACAGCATGCTCGTTATGAGCAATTGATTATTAATGTGGCATCAGCCTATGATGGATATCAATTTTGCCTGCCTTTCTCGACTTCCGAGGTAGAATCTACCGTAGTGGGATCTTGCATTTACACGAGGGTGATCTAGCAAGAAGCCTGATCGTCTTTGTTGATTATTTTTAATCAACTAAGAAGATTACAAATTCTATGAAAAGCCATTTTCTATGTGCTACAAGCTTCCATTACCAGTCATTCGAGAGTTTCAAAGATGCAATGAAATGGTTTTCTAATAACTTTATAAAATAAAAGCACAGTAGTGAGAATTATGTGAAACTTATCGCGAAGGCTCGGTCCGCTAAACGCCCGCCCCTTTTAGTTCCTCGGGAATCTATTAGGATTCTTCTCAAATAAAAATATTCTTAAAACCACGCCTATTGTCCAAGACGCATCAGCAAGTGCCTATCAGATCATGAGTTACTTTTTTTTGGATGAAACCATGGCAGAGAGAACAAACCTCATCTCAAATAAAGATAACAAAATAAATTATGTTTATTCCTTTATTCTCGAAGATCTCCTTAAGTTCTTGAAAGTTGAACTGGATAAGGATCTATCAAGTATAGTTTGCAAGTACCTCACTCGTAAGATAGTAAAAAGTCTTTTTATAACATCATTTCTGTTCCGTGGTCAATATAATTAAGAGTTGAGGACCCGAATTCGGTCTATGTCTGGGCTGCTACGCCGCTCACTGGTATTTTACCTCATATCATATTTTGAAAAAGTATGTCTTGCTCATCCCTGACTTCCTTAGTCACTCAGAGAGCATCTATTGAGTATATTTCCCATTGGGCGTCTGGGGTTGGTTTAAGGAAAAATCAGGGTTGGACTCAGATTCTTAGTCAGATGATTCAACTATACTTGAGAACAGCGCCTGAATGACCTTTTTAAGCTTTTCTGTACTCCAGCTATTGAATGAGTCAAGTAGCTGGTTAAGAAAAGAGTTGCTTTCCTTTTATCGCTTTGCTATCTCACGAATTGGATTTGAACCAATATCTCCGGGCGACTTTCCTTTTATTCAATCGTGAGTTATCTGCCATCCTCCTCATTATAGT